ATGTGCATTTTGTAGCCACACACGCACATCCATACTAAATCAGTGACACTGAAAGACAGTGTTATTAATTCTAACGCTTATCTGGGTGTGTTCATGTTGAAGGGAGAATGAGGTTGAAGAAGTGAAGGAAGAAGGCCCCAAGGAGATGACTCTGGATGAATGGAAGGCCATGCAGGACAAGGACCGCGCCAAGGTAGAATTCAACATCCGCAAGCCCAACGAGGGAGCTGATTGGAACAAAGGATTTGTGCTCCACAAGTCCAAGGCAGAAGTGAGTAAAAACAAAAGGTCTGCTCTCGGTTGGAGAAATTATTTATTGCTACATTTTAACAGGTATCCAGTATTCAAGCAAGAATTCTTCTTCCAATGTAGTATATTGACACTTCCAAAATAGGTGAGACAACAGCTTAGCCAGGAATTAGGGAAGATTATGGAAACTCCCATGTGTTGGAGGTTATGTTAAATATTCTTTCTCCGTGAGATGAAACTGACTTTAATAATGTTGCACCGGTGCAAAAGGTTTTCATGGCTGCACTTCAAAGTCAGAACTTCAACATAGAACAGGAAGTAGTTGTACTTATCAGACAATGATGCAAGTTTTATTTTTGCAATATGCCTTAAAAAAAAAAAGTGAATCGGAGTGTTGTGCAAAATTGTATTAGTCAGTATTCACTTTCTAAGGCAATGCTCCATCATAGCATTTTCAGTCAATGTGCAGAACATGTCACTAAAACTGGGTTTGACATTATAAGTGTGAGTCATACATTGTTAACAGGAATCGACAGGATGTTTTTATATTAACTGTATTATCTTATTAAGAGATTTGAATTTGTTGGTGAAAGCACATTATTTTGATCAGTGTGTTAATGTTGGCTTGTGTCTTTGTACCTGTCCACTGCAGGATAAGAAGGGTGATCTGATTGAACCTGAGGTTGAGGAGCAGAAGGTAAAATTTCTACAGTTGCATGTACTCTGAGTATATGAACTCCAGTCATGCATGCTAGCAGAACATTTATGTTGCAGATATACCAAAACAATAAAACTTAATTTTTAACCCTTGTTTTTGTAATTTAGGGAGATGATGAGCACCATTGCAGGAAGCCAGCCAATGACATTACGTCACAGCTGGAGATCAACTTTGGAGACCTGGGCCGTCCAGGCCGTGGACGTGGTGGACCACGTGGTGGCCGTGGAGGTGGAGGTGGTCGTGGCCGCGGCGAAGCCACCAGGCCAATGCGTGGTGGAAGGTCTGACAAGGTAAGGGGCATTAAGCACAGCTTAGTTGCTGTTATATCAGCAACAACCAGGTTTATGCGCAGGAAGTTGGGATGCACAAGACGAAATGTTTAAATTACCAGTGATTCTGATATTTGCTCTTTTTGGCATTTAGAACGTCCTGTTTTTTAGAAGTGGTACAGCCCTTCATTTAAAGAACAGATTGCCCTCTGCTGTTAAATCATTTTACGACTTTATTTCTGTATTATTGCAGTGGACCATTTCCATTAATCAGTCTCATCTTTTCTAACTTGTACTTGTTGTCCACCTTTTCTAACAGTCATCTACGTCTGTGCCAAACGTGGACGACCCAGAGGCCTTCCCAGCCCTGGCTTAAGCCAGGGTTGCTAATCCTCAGGCCTACAGGAGCCTCCTGAGCACCTCCACTACGAGGCTTGCATGTTCCTGGATCCTTCAGCAGAGTGAACCAATGGAGAAGACTGTCATTTACTATGACACTCAATGTGAGGACTGAGTTTTACCCAATAAAAACAAAACGAAGATGGAAAAAAAACAGAAATTAACAAAAAAAACAAAAAAATAAAAGGACTTCTTGCTACTCTGGAGCAACTTATTGGTAGAGGTTTTGTACTTGGAAACAAAGTAGCAGGGATGTTTTCATACAGTATTTTTTTCAGAGGTTATGCATTGTCCATTGATAAATTTTTGTAATTGCTGCTTGAAAATATGCATTTTGAAAGAGTATCTTTAGTGTGGTGTGTGCCATTGCTTTCTCGCTTTAAACTAGGCACTGTGGAGCTCCAACCCAAGCTCATAAGCTCTGACACACCAGGTATTTCAGATGACGTTACAGCTTCAGTCATTGAGATTTATGGATTTTTTTTTTCTTTAGCAGTGGGATATTGTTTTATATTTTGTACAGGAGGTCTATTCTTGTATGATCTTCAGCCTGTAAATCGTAACTATTTTCATAGATTCTTTCAGAGACTGTATTTCACATGGTGCAAATAGGATGCACCTTGATCTTTGGTCAAAAGGTGCTACCTATCTTTGAATGCATTGATGAAATGGCGCCTAAATCTGAATTTAAGGTTCTTTTTGTACTGAAGATGTTTTGAAGGAGTAACATTAGGTCATTTTGGAGGAGCACGCTGGTGATGACTCTTAAATTTGCGCTGATCATGAAACTTTGGTCAGGTGAATTTATTAGCAGCTCAAAGATATTTCACATTTTCTCGTTACTTGTTATTTGAAGTGCAATCCTCGGTCTAATGAATCTTCCTCCTTGCCCATTTCATCTTTGATCACTGGCCATGTGCGAGTCAATTAATGCCTTTCTTTTTACTTTAGAGCGCTAAGGGGAGGAAGTGTTTTTACACAGTTGAGATTTGACCCTCTCCAACTGTTTACACACTCCACTCTGGTATCCTTTTACAGATGTAAACTCAGCCCAGCTTCAGTTTGTTTCTGCAGTCTGTTCTGTGCTGATATTTTCCTCCACTGTTGACTTGCCCTGTAGCTTCCACAGTGGCACCACTGCATAATTGCTCTGAAAGAAATACAGTTGTCCATTGTGTGGAACAACAGAAGTTCTCTACAAATGTGTGAATTCTAGCCCTGCTATTGGAGACCTCTGTCGGTAAATAAAGGTGGTCGATAAATTTTTTTGCATTGTCATTTCTTTTTTTCCTTTTTTTTGTCCTGCCTGCACAAAGGCACTATTATTTTACACTTTTGGTGTACTTTTTTTTTTATTTCCTTTTTGACCGCATCACTTTTTAAATGTATGCTACCACTGTGTTCAATTAGGGGGACCTGTTATGATATCCAGCTGTTTTTTCACCTTGCCCTACTAGGCTAGTGTTGCATTATTACTCTAGTTATTTGACTTATGCTGGCCCTTAGTGTAGCCCCTCAGTTTTCTGAAACAACCTGTTTTTGCTTTCTTCCCTCATTTAGGCCAGTTTTGTTCTGAAGGTTGGCTTTTGCAAACAAAACATGTGAACAAATTGGCTGCCTGTGCTCAGACCCAGCGTGGTGTCTGGGAGAATCATATTTGATGCTAATTTGCTGAGATAAAGCCAAAAGTCCTTATAGTCTGAAACCAAACACGTAGATCAGATTGCATCCTGTATTTTTGGCTCTGGAGTTACTATTACATACAGAAACATTTTTAAAATCCTGACCATGTTTGAAATGGGTTTGTAGAGAGATACTGTAATTGTCCCTGAAGGGAAATAGTTGCTACTGCTTTCAAAGAATGCAGTTTGTTGGGGAAAGACAGCTTTTTGTGTTTTTACTGCAAGTACAATACTCAGATATTTGAAAATGTTAATGATGTGCAGACTTTCAGCTTTAACTTGAGGAATTTAACAAAAGTATTTCATTAACTGTTTTAATAAATAATAGGCCCTTTTTTTTTCAGAGGCTCAAAATTAGACTGCTTTAAATCTAAAAAAAATATATATATATAAAAAAACTTGGATAAGAAGAATTGAACCCATGGACTTCACTAAATGCTGGGATTCCTCCCTTTAGAGATTCTGCCAGCAGCTTCAGTTACTGCTTGTGTGTGTGGGTTCTTCTGCATTTAGTTTTGCATTTAGTAAGTGAGAGGCATACAATAGAATCTCTACAGTAGAATAGAAAAGCCCTTTACTGTCATTGTCCATGTACAACAAAATTGTGAGTGCTCAACACCAGCTGTGTAGGTTTAAAATATAAATAGTAAGACAGCAAGACTAAATGGCAGGAAAAATGTATACAAAATAAGAGGAAGGCTCCATTAGAACAGGTCGCAAAGTGCTTGGTTTAAGATGAGATTCAATTCAGTTTCCTTTATATAGCAGCAAATCACAAAGAACACGGAAAACCCCAACAGTCATATAACCTACCTTATAAGCAAGCACGTTGGTGACAGTGAGAAAGGAAAAACTGTTTTAAAAGGTAGAAACCGAACAGAACTAGGCTCAGGAAACGGCAGCCAACTGCTGTGACGGCTTGGGGTCTGGACGAAAACAGGACCAAGACACACTATGGAAAAGAGTCAGAGATGAATAATAAGCAGTGATTAAATGCAGAGAGGTGTATAAAGAACATCACTTGATGGAAGAAAAAAAAACTCAGTGCATTATGAGACTAGATTACTGACTCAATGATTACTGATTACTTTATTTACCATGAGAAACTCGTGGCTTCTTTTTATTTTGACGGATTCATTTGGCTAAATCTGAGCAGAGATTTCAACCTTGTACGCTTCATTTGACCTTGACCTTCATTATTCAACCTTTATAGCTTTTAGAAGCCAAATATTGCTCCAATCATATGGGTAAAGATAGTAAAATACACCATTTCTGTATGTAATGCTTCAAGGTCCTAGATCAACGTTTAGGGTCACATGAATTAGGAAAAAGCTTTTAGTTTCCAGGAATATACTAAATTAGTCTTTAGGGGATATAAACACTTTCTTTATTTGAATTCTTTGAAACATTTTTTTCAATCTAACATTGTATGACTTCCTAATGACATAAAAAGATTAATATACTAAACTAGATTTTGATATTAACAATGCTGACGTCAGCACAAATGATCTAGATAAACCGCTGATGTCATCATACTGTGATAAATATATGATTAAACATCAGAGATGTGCTCTCTGGGTGCTCTTGTTACTAAACTAGGTTTACTTTGTACGACTCTGTCGTAATCTTTGGATTGTCGTATGGTCCATACGACATCCAGGAGAGAAAGAGAAACGTACAAAGTCTGAATGATGAACTCATTTATTGGTATTGACATTGAAGTAAATTAAGTATATATTTATGAGCTACGCCGATTCCCATATAAAGACAGTCATAGTCAAAGGGTGCAAAATCATCAAAGAGGTCACTCAAAACACAAGATTGTTTTGAAAAACATAAAAGAATAGCACTGTACATTCATCAAATTTTACTTTTTTCTTTCTTTTTTTTCTTTGCTATGCCAGCAAATGGAACAACAGAAAATATAAATGAATATATGAAATATATCCACATCCAAATATATTCACTTTGACTTTCTTTCACCCTGTCATGTTCACCCTTTCACCCTGAAGTTCATGTTTGCGGCACCATAAAGTCCTGAGATGATTGCAGGGTCCAAAGTCACTACACAGCTGTTGTCAGGTGTTTGACTCAAAGCAAACTGGGAACATGAATCCTACAACTGTTGCCTCAACAGATGTGATAATCGTCAGGGCAGACTGTGTTTACCAGTGTTGGTGAGCCTGTGCTGGCTGCAGTTTTCAGCTAACAGAATTGATTCCTGATGCGGAAATCCAACATGTCTAAGACGGTTTTCTGCTCGGTGCAGCTGGAAAGAGGGCTTATCAGAGATAAGATAAAGCTTTTCCCACGATTTTTTGGTATTAGAGTAAACTGAAAACCTGAAACAGAGAATCGTGTTTGGTCTCAAAGATCATACTTTTCCTCATTCTGAAACTCCTGAATGTTTATCTGCAGGAGTGTATGCTGTACCAAGTTGGCTGGCTGTTTCCAGAACTGCACAAACAAGCAGATATACAGATATTCTAATGAAGTGTTTGTTGAGTGTAGTAATCATATTCTATAAACATCAGCATGTTTTTTACTGGCTTTGTGTTGTCAGGCTAATATTAGCTATTGTCTCTCAACACTGCTGGGCTGTTGGATTTGTCTCAAGTTAAAAAGTTGCAGTTAGTTCTAAATGGTCCAGTTTAACCTCCTCCTTAAGTAGATGAGCTAAGACTGAGGTAGGATAAATGCATATGCACGGGATAGTCAAGGCTATAACAGAGTATGCATTTGGGATGATCTTTTACAAAGGAGAGGACATGTCTATGTCATAGCAGGAAAAGCACAAACAGAAAAGCAGATTATGTCTGAAATCTATTTTTGCATCAGGAACCAAGTTATCTCTCTGCTTCTCCTTCGATGAAACGTCTGATTGGGCCTTTGGAAATTTCTTCAGCCAGATCAGAAATGACAACATCTCTTGCAAGCCTGTCCTGTTAATTGTAGTCAAGCGATTAGTGTGTCCATTGCCGTTTTGAAGAGAAAACAATTGTAATGCATGACATGAAAAGGATACCCTTTAGGTTTAAAATTGTTACTGCATAACTGAAGCTCAGACTTAAGCAAAAGTTCTCTGGTTTCAGTGAGCATGGAGGTAGTTCATGCAGTTCTTTGTTTCTGGGCTGTTGGCTTATCAGCATTCTTCCTCTAAAAGCAGGTTTCATTTGCTTTCAGTTTTACTAAGCGTTTTGAAAGAAGTCACTGCAGTCAATTTTCACTGCATCCAGAGTCAGCTTCCCTCCAAACACCAGCGGCTCTATGAAGATGTTGTGATTGGAGATGAAAGGCATGTCCAGAAACTCTCCACATTTCTCCTCATCGTCTTCCTCGTCCAAATTTCCGGGCTCGTGTGATGAAATATAATCAACAGTTGTGTCCAGAGACGTGTGCGTGTGATCGGAGCTGTCTGAGTCGTGGGACAAACTCTTAATGTATGTGGTTGGAATGACCGACTCTGGCTCAGTGTCAGAGCTCAGCCTGGTTGAAGGAGACATACGCAAGATTGGTTTTCTAGATTCACTGTTCTGCTTGGGTAGCTCCTCCACATTCACCAGGATGAGCTTTTCTTCCTCCCTGGGTTCACTGGAGCTGGATGATGGGAGCGGCAGGTTCATGTTGCCCTGTTTGGAACAGAGACACGAGCTCAAATGACGAACAATAAGAGATGCAGTCCAACCTGAATTCTTCTTAACTTTTATACGTTTACCTTGTCTTGGGTATACTCTTTGGCCCACTTGCTGTTTGCAGGATCTGGCACAACATCTAGCATGAAGCACTGAAAAAGCTCGCAAGACCTGAGGGAGAAGGAGTAAAATAAATAAATAAATAAGTAAAATAATAAGGTGTAACTGTGTTATAGAGTTTATGTTGCACATGTACCTTTGCTTTACGGTTGAGTTCTGGCACAAACACACAAGAACCACCACAATCACGGGGATGATAATACACGCCGGTAGGAGGAACTCTTGGGTGTCATCTGCAACAGTGGCAACAAAATAAAAAGATGTAAGATTACAGAATACACCTTTATTTCCTCTGTTACAGCGTGTCTAGGATGCTTAACTCTGCAGATTCTTGCAACAGGACAGCAAATCTACAACAGAATGGCTGAAAAGTAAAAGCATTAGGTATTTCAAAGACCCACAGTCCAGTTCTCCACCCAACTGATGCGGTGGAAGTACTTCAAGAAAGCTAAGTATAAATAAATGCCAAGTTTCAATGAAGTGAAGCAACTTTAAAAAGATGAGTCATACAGAAAATAGGTTTACTGCTGCTTATAATAGTTATGAGACACTAAGTCATTGTTTGGACTTATTTTCTCACAGGACTGCATAGAAGGCTGTGACTAATTTATTTTCCTCATTACTGTATATGTACATTTAAAAAAAAGTTATACATCAGTATCAGGGACTATTTTAACGAAGATCACTTGGATTGAAAACCAAAAAGCAAACAGTCTGAGTTTTAAGTATACAGTGTGTTTTTAAACAGTTTCACTTAAAACAAAGCTTTAATGTGAAACTTTACAATTACTTGTATAAAATAAATTTAGTGATAATAAGTTAATTAATATTTAATTTTTTATTTATTTAATATTAACACAGTACTACAGATGTGATAATTGACATGAAGTTCTTACAGACCTGTTAAATTCATGGCAACACAACAACCAGGTAGCTTAGCTTAGCTTAGCTTAGCTTAGCTTAGCTTAGCTTAGCTTAGCTTAGCTTAGCTTAGCTTAGCAAAATGATTGCATTGGAAATAGCTTGCATGGCATGCAGACCTCCTATTTTACCGTGTCACTAGTGTAGTTTCATATTTACTCTACAAAGCCAAGAGTGGGAATGAACTCCTCCCTGAAACAAACTAAGTGTAAAAAAAGAGGCTACTTACGTGCAATGAAGAACTTGATCTTTTGACCTGCAGGGCCTTCTCCTTCAGCTGTTGAAGCACTCATCCACAGTCTGTACTCTGCTGGAGGCAGGTCTTTAATTATATACGTCCTCTCTGATGCTGGTGTAGAGTCTGAAAATGTATAAACACATACAGCAGAAGCAGAACATTTTGTCAGTGTGCATAGTTTCTGTTGAATATGTTTCAGTCACTGACTGTATATAGAAGAGCTCGGTCATTTGAGAGGGACTCAGCATAAAGTTGCTTTTCCTCCACACTGAAACGATCCAGTTGGGGTGGTTTGGGAGTCTGGCTAAGGTGCCTCACAGGTGTGAGGTTTTGGGGCTTCCCAGCTTGTAGGAGGCCCTGATGTAGACCCAGGAGAGATTATATATTTTAGTTGGCGTGAGAACAGCTTGGCATCCCTCTTCAGAAGCGCTGGAGGAGGCAGACGGGGTGAGGTTGGTCTGGTTGTCTATGCTTACACTGACCCGTTTAAGTAGCACAAACTGAGTAAATGTTACACTTTAAGGTGTGGCTGTCTTGTGATTCATAAGTCACAACTCTATAGATGCACATGCAATCTGTGGTTTCTTTGTGAGGCCCACACCTCACTCATTGTGTCCGGTTTCCAAACGGCATGCTGGCAACAGAAGAAATGCTGAACTTCACAAACTAATGGCTGATGAATCCTCTGTATGATCTGTATGCTTTTTAAATCATCTGTTCTCTTATGTTTCATTTGGTTACATCGCTTCACAAGAAAAATGCTTTAATGCCTGGAACCATATTGAAATAACAAGCTTTTGAATAAAATATTAATGTCCCCTCGATTTAGCATTCTCATTTTCTTCACCTTGGCCTTTTCTGAAAATGTCAGTAAAATAAAACAACTGCAGTTTAACTCATCCTTACAGATTTTAGGGTTCCCCGTGGTCTCCAAATAGATAGTATACTTGGTAATGCAACCCCTGCGCTGACTCCTGTCAAGCTCACTCCAGGTAATGTTCACGTTGTTTCTTCCCTCAACCTTCTCTTGGACACGTGGGGCGGCTTTTGGAGCTGCAAACCACAAGCACAACCCAAAACACTGCTTAATATGATGACCATTAACAAAATATTTAATATTTAATAAGGAATATTGACTGTTTTGTATGTCTTACCTGACTCCAAAGTGGCAACACCTTTAAATTTCCAACTAATGGAACTCTCATTATAGAGCACATACACCGCTCCGTCATAGCACTCATATGGCTGGACATCTGCAGAAAGGAGGACAGAAGCACTTTAAGAGAAAAAAGAAATGGGCAAAATGTGTGTTTTAAAAAAGTGACAGATTGCTCATTAGAGGCTTTGTTTTTCTCCCGCTTCATCTTTCACTTCTTACCTGAAATGACAGCGTGGTTTTCGTTCTCGCCCAGCCTGACCCATCTGAGCTTCTCCAACTTGTTGCCATCTGGGTACCACTCCACTACATATGTGGTCGGTGGTGGTGCAGTTTCAGGTTTTGTCCAGGAGATGGTGATATTGGAGTTGTTGGCTGTTACTTGTAAGTTGTTAGGGGATTTGGCTGAAGCGAAAACAAGGCAATCATGTAGTCACGTAATTCACAAATGCATAGACCAGTGTTACTAATACATTTGTAACATTTTAATGAGAAGACTTAAAATTAAAAGAAAGGGAACCAGACTGTGGATTTTTGTAATTCTCCTGACAAAGAAACAAGGCTGAATTACCATGTGGGAAAAGTTTTTCACGAGGCCAGGGGTGGGCAATCTCAGTCCACGAGGGCCGGTGTCCCTGCAGGTTTTAGATGTGTCCTTGAACCAACACAGCTGATTTAAATGGCTAAATTAGCTCCTCAACATGTCCTGAAGTTCTCCAGAGGCCTGGTAATGAACTAATCATGTGATTCAGGTGTGTTGACCCAAGGTGAGATCTAAAACCTGCAGGGACACCGGCCCTCGTGGACTGAGATTGCCCACCCCTGCACTAGGCAGTTAGGAATTGTTTTATTTTTGCAACAAATAGACGTGTAAGGTAAACTGCAACCTGAATTATTACATAAATAACTGCCCCTGTTTTGTGGAGGGTCTCAACATGTTGGTGTACGCTGATAATGCACAACGTTAAAACCACCTGGCCTGATACGAGCAGATCGAGCATGCCATCAACACAGATCTGACGCAGAAAACATGCACGCAGGAACACTAAAATTGTGATATATCTAATCTATAGGGTGACATTAACATACACTGTGTCATATCTTCCCTATGCGAAACTGAAAATTAATTCCTGGGAAAAAGGAACTAATGCCATGAGAGTCACCTTCTA